CGTCGATATAATGCGAGATACGTTCCAAGAGAGGTCGCTTTAAACGAATTCGCACTAAATCGAAGTGTTGTTTCAATGGAATAAATTAGTTTGGTACTTGAGAGAAACACAAAATAATTAAAAGACTGACAGTCTACCCAGATGCACCTCAGCCCATCTCCTAGAATAAACAAAACATTGTTTTTTGTAGTACAGTATTATGTTAAAAAGAAACACTCATAAATCAACACAGCTAAAATTAAGGGATGTGAAATGGCCTGTTTACTGGTTGGGAAGATGGGGGGGGGGTGTGAGGTGATATGTTAGTAGAAGCCTTTTGTGTAAAGCACGAGGTTTCGTGGCACAATTGGGAAAAACTACTGGGTCTGTTGAATTTTGCCACAATAGTGGTTCCTTTGGGAAAGTTAAGGAAGAAGCAATTAAATCATCTGGGCTCAAAGTTGCTTCACAGAAGCAGAAATATTGCTTCTTCTCTCCCTATTCAGATCAAGAATCATCTGTCATGGTGGACAAATTTGGACAATCTAATCGATTCCTCTCCCTGGGTTCCGCCTCAAACAGATTTGGTCGTTTGTACGGATGCGTCCGAAATAGGATGGGGATACCATTCCTCAAATGGGGATTTCAGTCAAGGGAAGTGGAGCAACTCCCTTTGGGACAAACACATAAGTATAAAAGAATTAGCAGTAGTCCTTTTCTTTTTGTCGGCAAACCCAAATTTAAAAATATGACGATCCTGTTTGCCACGGACAACAAAACGGCAATGCTTTGTCTCAATCATCAAGGCTCAACCAGATCTCGGCCCCTTCTAAAACTGTATTTTATTTATCCTGCATGATATCTTGATGAGCTTGATGTTTTATCCTCTCATGTTGGTGGAGCTTGGCACCATGAAAATGTGACTTAGGTTTACATTTTCCATCCTTTTCAAGATTTATGTGTCTATGTGATGTGCCATATTATGTCTTGTCTGAAGAGTTGTGAGTTCTAAAGCCCTCATTTTACTTGGATAATCAAGATGATATAGTTCAGGAATCATCACAGTCGCTCTATTACATCTTTTCCTAGGATGTTAAGTCTTTCTGGAGGTAAGGGTTCCATGCCTGTATACAGTAATTCAGATAGGGATGTATGAAATGCTTACAAATATGGAGCATTTTCTTATCTCTGTGACTGAAGGTACAGTTGCCTCCATTTATAAAGGGTACTATGGTTGGCATGTTTTGTGACATGTGGCACCATTGTTTGTTTACAACTTAGTAAAACTAGCAGAATGGCCTGAAATACCCAACCTATGGATGCTAAATAAGCAGTCACCCGTAAATGCATGCATTTCCTGCATGGTTATAGTTTTAATATATTACCTAGTAGAACATCATTGGCTCAGATCTCTTGCCACATCTCACAAAACATGCCAGTCACTGTATCTATTATAAATGGAGGCAACTGTACACCTTATAATTCCTAAATCTCAGTTGGGTCTTTACACTGCTGCACCTATTTGATGCATTGCCTTCATTAGTTGTTCTATCACAATGCCTAGATAATTTTCCTTTTCAACAATAGCCAAGAAAGTGTTATTAACAGATTAGGAGAGTCTTGCATTATGTAATGTAGGTCAGTCAACACTTAGTCATCACACTCAAAGTCAGTCAAAATAGAAGGTCATCAACAGTGTAGCTGACCAGCTCAATAGGTCATCAGTAGGGCCCGGATAGTTATGCACTAAAAACCGTGAAATATGCATGCAAATATGCACTAAAAACAGGGGAAATATGCATTTATATGCACTTAAAAATGCCACTTATAAAGCCAAGAATGCAGGTTATACGGAAACAAAATAGTTAATATAAACTAATGTTAATGTTTATTAAGCAATATACGTAATGTATTTAACATGTATATGTGAAAGTGCTTCAAAAAATATATATGAACATGTACCGTATATACTCGTCTATAACCCCCCTTCGTATATAGGTCGACCCCGATTTTATGACCAAGAAATCGTTAATTTATGATATTCCTCGTTTATAGGTCGACCCAAGTTTTTGAGGGTAATGGAACAACAAAACCTTCAGAAAAACTCTACGTCCTATAAACTTGTTTACCATTTATTATTACGACACTTTACACTGAAACGCAGGTAGTTTCAACAAAAATATTGTATATTTCCATTCAAGTATTTATTCAAGTCAATTAGGAGGGAATATTATTGTAATACAACAGTTTTTTAACTAAACCATTCGAAAAGCGATTACGGTAACATCTTTTGAACGAAAGAAAGCGAGTCATTGTTTTCGTCACGATTTTATCCCACTTTCCACTGTAATACGTACGTAATTTCAGGAAAAAATATTACATTTCCGTGAATGTAGTATATCAAGCACAGTATGAATAGAATATCATTGTAATATAACAGAATTTTAACCGAAAACTATTAAAAAAACGAATAACATCTCAAGAACATCGGAAGCTTAGGTGAAGTCTTTTGTTTTCGTCATGTATTTTATCCTATTTTACATTGAAATACATCACGTTTCAGCAAAACTACTATTTATTTCCGAGAATATATTCATTCAGGCACAGTTTAGGTAAAATATACGTGTGATGTAATAGTTTTTTAACTGAAAACGATTCGAAAAACACGTTCCCTCTAGCCCTGTTCAAAGAGAGGACTGGGAGAAGCTGTGTGGTGCTGCAGACGATGACAAGGAAAATGATTTTGATGGATTTTAATGAAAATATTCAGAAATATGGTATCGTAATATTTATTCAAGTCAATTAGGATATTATTGTAATACAATACAACAGTTTTTTAACTAAACCATTCGAAAAGTGATTACGGTAACATCTTTTGAACGAAACAAAGCGAAAGTCATTGTTTTCATCACAATTTTATCCCACTTTCCACTGTAATACGTATGTCATTTCAGCAAAAAATATTACATTTCCGTGAATGTATTATATCAACCACAGTATGAATAGAATATCACTAATATAACAGTATTTTAACCGAAAACTATTAAAAATACGAGTAACATATCTTGAACATCGGAAGGTTAGGTAAAGTCTTTTGTTTTCTGCATGTAGTTTATCCTAATTTACATTGAAATACATCACGTTTCAGCAAAACTACTATTTATTTCTGAGAATATGGAAATGTAATATTTTTGCTGAAATGACGTACGTATTATAGTGGAAAGTGGGATAAAATCGTGACAAAAACAATGACTCGCTTTCTTTCGTTCACAAGATGTTACCGTAATCGCCTTTTGAATGGTTTTCAGTTAAAAACTGTTATATTACAATAATATTCTATCCTAATTCACTTGTGATGTAAAAGTTTTTTAACTGAAAACGATTCGAAAAACACGTGTACCGTCAGCTGATACGGCAGAGCCCTGGTCGTGGAGGCTTTGTGTTTGCATCGGCCCTTCTTAAGCAGCTTTTAATTTTAGCGTACGTTGAAATTGTGTTTACCGGTGTATTCTTATTTTCTTGCTTCTTATTTTCCAGAAATATGACAAGTTTTTATATAATACAATGTTACGGTACTTTTAATTTACAAGTATTCATTTTTAAAAATACAGAAGACACCAAACAAATACTAGTACGGATATTTGCGTGACTCTCCCGCCAAAAAAGACCAAACAGCTGGTACTCTCTCCCTCAGCCCTACCAAAAATAGCCCAACATCTTTCTTGTTTATTCTCTTCCAATTTCTCACTTTAACTGGTATTTTTTACTTCATATTGCCTACATCAGATAAACTACAGTAATTGAGGTTAGATATTGTTATAAATTTGATTACCGGGTCCTGGCAGGTACCGTTAGAACCACCTGACCCTACCAACAGTGTTGCAAGTCAGACAGCATTTTTTTTTTTCACATTTTTGGTGTCTCCATTTGTTAATTTTTTTTCTGTGGGGTTTGCACAATAGTATACTGTTTTACCTACAGTATTGTAAAACGATTTGAGAAAAGAAATACTCGGTAACTTAAAATTTTAAAAGGAAAATTTTGAAACTGGCAACTGTGTAGATGACCTGACTCACATCATATTGATGTTTCAAATTTAATTAACAAAAATTTATGTATCTATAAATAAACTTTTAAAAATGAATACTTTATGTTTTACATACTCCTGTGCATACCATACCATGCATTTGGCTACTTTGGGCTTGCTATGATGACGCAAGAGATCTGCCCTGGCAACTGTACCGACACTCACAGCGGGTGGTGCGTTGGTGCATCGTTTCCATTGTTTACTGGTAGTTACTGGTAAATTTTTTTCAACCTAACGAAACTATTACCCGTATAGAGGTCGACCCCCAACTTTTTGCCCAAAAATTTGGTCTTAAGAACTCGTGCTATACACGGGTATATACGGTATTTACATTATAGACTGACATATTTTCAGACATTACAGATTGTGGTTGCATTCTTACGTAATGTTGATTCGTCAGGCACCTTTTTTCCAGTATACTGTTCCAGGAATGACTTTAGGCACTTGTTATTCAGTTTATGCAATGGAATATCCGCTGAAACAAATGCCTTGCACAAATCTGCGTTGAACTGGGAACGATCAGGCCCTGACTTACTGGAACATGCAAGAAGTAGTTGTTGCTCCTTTTGTGCACTATTGGACTTAACAGCTTCGAGTCGGATGTGCTTGCTTGTTTTAAGGTGTTGTTGGACTTGAAATTTCTTGCTCGCTGTCACTGGTGCTTCACAATATTTACAAAACAGTACACTTCCATCAGTAGTAAATGCATCAAATTCCTTTACATATGATCTCAGCACTTCATTTTGGTTTCTTTGTACTTTCGGCATTTTCACGAGCAGCAGAAGAGAGTAGCTCCACACAGCAGCACTGCTCCTGACTGACTAACTCACTAGTCCAATGAGTCATGACCAGGTGTGGAAACGACAGATTAAAGCGACGTGACCTCACCTCACTTCACCTAACCACACCTCACCTCACCTCCCAGTACCACGTGTGCTCATTCAATGGCAACAAAGAGATACTGCCAGATGAATATTTTACCAAAATATGCATTTGCATATGAAATATGCAAATGCATAACTATCCGGGCCCTAGTCATCAGCATTGTAGGTCATCAACATTGTGGGTTATGAACACTTATTCAACACTGTAGGCTATTTATACTGTATTATTAGTTTCTACAAATACCCGTACACTAACTTAACTTCATTATTCACTTGCATTCAGTGTTATTAATTCTACAAATAAGCTTTCAGTATATCATCATTCTCCTACAATCACCATATAACTTACTCCTCAAACTCTCACGAAGACAAATAGACATTTAGAATGCTTAAATCTTTCATGAAATAGATTATTTCATAGATTAGATTTTTTGGATGATAGATATTTTACTGTAAGTCAAGTAGAAATGTAGATTAATCATCAACTCAGTGGTCATATCTTTAGATAAACTGACTTCAAAGGTTAGCTCTCACAATCCTACACTTTCATTAATACTCCATCCCTACTTAATTGCACTACCCACCACTAATTTCATCTAATATGGTCTACCCACATTAAAGCAAAACTGTTTTCAAAAATTCTTTTGGCCTCCTGTCTACCAACTGCAGGACATAACCTATTTTGTAATTGTTACCAAGTCTTTTTGATAATATCAAGAATATGTTTATGATACTGTTATCTTGATCTCACATTGCATTTACAATTTTTTGTCTTGGTGCCATATCCAACAGATGGTACGTCCAGACTCCTTCACAGCCAGCATCATCCGTCGGTCATCACGCACCATCTCCCGTTCCACGATTGATATTCCTTCCCTGGAAACAGTGTCGCCCAGCAGTGCATGGCCCTGGACACCTTCCTCCGTGTCCCTGGAGGTTCCCACAAGGACCAGTAGGAGGTCTGCCACAGCTCTCAACAGGTTGCTTACTTTGCCATGCTATAGGCAATAGGCATGGTAGTGACTATACTGTAGGCATGGTAATAGCAAGGCTCCAGATGTGGTAGTGGCCTTACTCTTGGCATTTTTGTGGCCTTCAGCATGGTAGTGGCCATATTATAGCATTGTAGTGGCAAATTCCATGTTTGTAGCATGGTAGTATCATTCTACATTGATGCTACAAGCATGGTAGTGGCCTTAGTCTGAGCATTGTTGAGTCCTTACTCAGTAGATTGTTATGACCATGCTTCAGCAAAGTACTAACCATCCTTTAGCATAATTAGTGGCCTTTCTCTGGGCATGGTGGTGCTATACTGCAAGCATTTTACGTAGTACATAGTGGCTGTTCTCTTCCCATGGGGGTGACCATGCAGAAGAGTGAGTAGATACCCTGCTTTATGCCTAATATTCTTGCTCCAAGCATGATGATATCATGCTCATGTTCCAGGCATGGTAATGTTCAATCTCCAGGAATGGTAGTGGCCATGCCTCAAACATAGGGATGAATATCCCAGGAATGGTGGTGCCATTTTCTAGTCCTGGTGGTTTTATACTCTGGGGATACTGGTTCTATTTTCTGATCATACTCCAGGCATGATGTGTCATACTTCATGCATGGTGATTCACTGCTTAAAGTATGATGATGCTATGCTTTAGGCATGGTGACTCCAAGTTCCAAGTGATGACCTGCACTTGGATTAATAGAGGCCATGCTTCTGGCATAATGTAGCTATCCTTGAGGCATTATGTGCTATGCCTGAAGTATGGTGGAGCTCGTACTCCAGGTTTGATTGAAGCACCTCCTCACAATGACCCAAACACTTCAGTTCGTTGTCAACCTACACACCCAGGTCCTTTTCACATTCGGTCTTTGTTAATGCTGTTTCTTCCTCCCATATGGGCATCTAGAGAACAGGATCTTAAGGGATTCAGCAAGTGCCTTGCACAACTCACTTAGCACTCTGGGATGCACCGTGCCAGGGCTCTTATGAAACTTTAGCTTTGGCAATTTGTTTCTTATACCCTGTCTGACCTGTAGTGTTGTTTGGCCTTTAATGTTAACTGACCTATAGTGTTCTGACCTGTAGTGTATTCTGACCTTTAGGGTTGTATGACCTATGGTATTGTAGATGTGCCTTGCAACTTTTAAGTAGATGTATCACAGGCTTTTCAGTAGATATACTCATAGCTCGGGCTTGGAAGTAGATTTGTAACAGGCATAGAAGTAGAAGTGACAATCTTGACAGTTGATATAATCCAGGCTTAGTAGATGATATGTTCTAAGTTTAGTTGTAATGTGTCACAAGCTTGGCAGTAGATATGCCTTAAGCTTGAAACTGTAGTAGATATGCTGCAAACTTGGTGGTAGAAATATTTGTGGCTTGGTACTAAACTTGCTCCAAACTGGCTGTTCCCAGGCTTAGTTTTGACCATACCCATCCAAGTGCTTGTTAGTGGCTGTGTTTCAGGTTTGTTGTTGACCATGCTTTAGGGCTGGTAGTAACCAGTCTTGTTAATCATACTCTGGGCTTGTTGGTGGCCTTGCTCCAATTTTGTTGGCAGTCATGCATCAGTCATGTTTGTGGGATTGCTCCAGTCTTTTTGGTGGGCATGCTTCAGCCTTGTTGATGGTCATTTCCAGTCTTGTTGGTGGCCATGTTTGTCTTTTTGGTGGCCATGTACATTCTTGTTGGTGGCCTTGCTCTAGTCTTGTCAGTGGCCATGCTGTAGCTTTGTTGATATGTGTATGTCAGGCTTTAATGCAGTCTTGGTAGTAGATATGTTTCAGGGTAGGTTCCAGGCTATTTTTTGGATCACCCTTTAGATTAAGTAATGGCCATGTTGTAGGCTAGATGGTGACTTTAGCTTACCTTAGTAAAATTAAGACACTTTTTATGTCAGAGCTACTGCATTTGATGTCTCACAAGGGGAAATTGAAGTGGATATGACTTTAACAGAATGGCTGATTGAACAAAGACTACAGTGGATGAGACATGTGCAGTGGTTGGAGGGGGGAACTAAGTGAGGAGAGCAGTTAAATGGACAAATAAGGGGGGAGGAGGTGGAGGGGAGGGTGCTGTACGCCTATATTGAGATGGGAGGATTATATTAGGAAGGGTTCAAGAAAACTTGGCTATGAATAAGAGAACTGGAAGGTAATGGCAAAGGATAGAGAGGGTCTGAGGAAGAAGATAAAACTAGCAGGAGCTCAGTACTGAAAAAGGCCCTCAACTTTAAATGGGGATAAGAAGAAGTATAGTAATTATATTTAAAACTTATTCATTTTATTGTGATAAAACATAGCAAAAACTTCATTCCAAATTGTACACATGAGGAGAATATTGGTTATGTAGGAATAGGTAGTAGAATGTGCACTAACTATTTTTTCATTATATATTTTAATAATACTTACAATATCATACCCTCTGCAACATATACATTACATTTAGATGAATATATTTCTTTTATTGTAATTTTAATTTTCTGGGATACAGTACTTGTATATGCCAAACAATATTTTATTTTAGGCCAGGTATTGCCACATTAAGCAGTTTACTTATTAGTTGTGGGTGCTAAAGGTCATGTAGTACAGTATACTGTAGTTATAGGCTAAAGAAATATTTTACCTCATTGCACGTCAAAATGGTAACTGTAAATCACACATACATCACAAAGCACAAATTTTGTATTTTTTACAGTAGATGTAATATAATGAGCATTGGACATTTCACTGCTGATAATAGTTGATCTTTAGGCACAGTAAATGGCACCACATGTCATCCTCTACCCACATTTCAGGTCATCTTTGGAGGTGCCATGCAGCAGTGGTCGTCCAAGGGTGGGCAACATACCCAAAACCAGTATGTCAGAGAGTTTACCAGAGGAGGAGGAGGAAGAAGAGGTCAGTATCCAGTGAATCTATCAACTTATAAAAGTTATCAAACGTGATGGTCTTAATTTTTGGGCTGTATCCTGAAATTAGTGGTCATAATTTACAAATTCCGTATGGGCGAATTTCCACAACCTAAGTTTCCATAACGTGAAGGATACCTGTATTATTGTGATTTATCATTTCAGTTTCTGGTGGTTGAGACAACTGATGTGGAGAGTTGTGATAACCACTTGCCAGGAAGTCCCTCCTCTTGTCATAGTCACCACTCCATATCCCTCCACCGTGGGTCTCAGTCCCCTACATCCCAGTCAGTCTTCTCAGCCCACTCCTCGGGACATTCCAGCCCCACCATGACCCAGCCCTCACCATCCCAGGTCACCCCTCATCAGGCTGATAGAAGAACTGACACCATCATTAAAAAGTAGGTCTTTAGTCATTGTAACTGAAGGATAAAACAACACAATACTAATTCGTTATAAAGGTTCTTTTTATCAATAAACTGTCAAAAATTTTCACTGTAATAAAAGCCTTTTCATGAGGAATATGAGACAGTAGAACCCTGGTTATCTGGGGTTCATCATATCAATAAATATGGCAGCTCATCCCCATTGTGCGCGGTATTAAAATTTACGATTACTGTGAGGGCAAACTTTTTTGGAGTGAGAGTTGTGAACTCTTGGACCAATCTACCAGAAAGTGTTGTGACGGCACAAAGTGTGAGCTCTTTGAAGACCAGACTTGACCAACATTGGAGCAGGTTCAGGTACATTCAGGAGCCGGTGCATGCCCAATACTTGCCATCAGTGCGTAACAGAGATGTGACCGATCGCCCAAGCGGCTAATGAGTCGATCAGTGGCGTAGAGGATGAAAGTAAAGTAAGTAAAAGTATAGGTGATTTTGGAGGATTTTTTTATTATTATTATTATTTCATTTTAGAGTCAGTTAGTTGAATCTGCTGGTTAGCAGACTCCGTATAACTGGATTTCTACTTACTGTGTGTGTGTGTGTGTGTGTGTGTGTGTGTGTGTGTGTGTGTGTGTGTGTGTGTGTGTGTGTGTGTATATATATATATATATATATATATATATATATATATATATATATATATATATATATATATATATATATATATATATATATATATATATATATATATATATATATATATATATATATATATATATATATATATATGTATATATATATATATATATATATATATATATATATATATATATATATATATATATATATATATATATATATATATTGATAAAATCACACGGGAAAAGGGAAACAACGGAGCACCTTAGCTTTCGTCTTTATTCAAGACATCTTCAGAGACAACTGGATTACATGGACAGAGAGAGGATTAAATATACAGGGTGGCCTTATTAAACATGAGGTCAGGTCATAATGATGTCATCCACTAATCCCCACACCAACACACACGTAGAGGAGCTTAAGAGAAGGGGGTGACGTGACTAGTCAGGTCAGGTAAAAAATAAGGGACCCACTAAATAACTATCATACATCTAGATCAAAGGTTTTCAAAGCATTTTTAACTTTGGGCCACTGACAAATAAATTTATGTAACATCATATCAGTTTTGAACTGACCATCACTAAGGTTTATTGATTTTAATTCCTTAATCAAACTAGCTTCAACCAGAAGTCTTTCTGTGACACAAGATGATTTAATACTTCTAAGCTTTTTTCCCAAGCAATGGGATGATTATTATTCCTAACATGAACGAACAGGGCACTGCTTTCAGATGCTGTTCTGATATTGTACTTATGTTGTTTGATTCTGAGCTGCAATGTTTTTCCTGTCTGTCCTACATAATTACAATTACATTTGCTATAGGGAATACAATAAACACTTCCATTTACATTCAAACTTAGGCTATTTCTTATTAACATATTGGTAATGGTTGAGTCATACTTGAAAACAACATTAATATTTAGTAGCTTGAGGGACTGAACTAACGGGACAAATTCATTACGATAGGGCAGGGTCAAAATATTCTTAAGTGTAGGAATTTGCCTGGTTTGAGAGGAATGAAAGGATTTTTTAGCCCTTTTAAAACAACGATCAACAAACAAAAGGGCAGCCCGGAGAGCTGGCCACAAAATCTATAATGTGATAATTTTTTTTTTCCCATATCTAATACTGTATATATTACTTGCCCGGAGGGCTGACCACAAAATCTATAATGTGATGTGAATGGTAAAAAGAAAATAATATTATGCTGTTTATGAAAGGTATGTTCATGAATAGTAAATTCATGTATGATACAGAAATTGCTGTACCTTAATATTTCAAATCCTCTTGTTTAATTTCATACAATATATTTCCCACAGGCCCCCTTCACACTGTAATGATGATTGTTCATCACCATCAAAGCTGGAGAAGTCCATATCACGTAATGAAATTGACTTGGAAGTCATGTCTGTAGTGTTAAGCCAAGCTCCATCTTCAAGCCTCCAGCGGTACTCACCGGCTACCTTAGCTCGGCAGTCTTGTACCTCAATCCCAGACAGCCTTTTTCCTCAGTCCTCTGTACAAGAATCCATTTCCTGTCATCCTGCCTCACAAGCAATAGTTACACAGGACTCTGAACCACTTACTACAGAGCAACAACAGAACAGTCCTCCCAAGCAAGATGATCATCAAAGGTCACACAAAATGTCTGGAGGACGACCCCTCTCTGGGAAATATATAGGTAAAAGTAATGACAAGTGCAAAGACCAGGACACTGCTGGAAACCAACAATTTGATAAAGTAATCAACCATCCAAGCAACCCTTGTCTTGATGAGAATAAAAAATCTGCAGCTTCAGACAAAATGAACTTTGCAACAAACACTGCACTCATATTAAAAAATGGAAGCATTGAAGGAGAAAAGTCTTGCAAGACAGTTCCAGAAATACAGGAAAACAGGAAAAATGGAGTTTTGAGAACCCAATCCAGCAGAGGAAGCAGAAGTTCCAAAAAATCTGGAGGGATTAAGAGCAGAAAGAGTGATTCTGCTAAATGCAGCAAGAATTCTCAAGGTAGCAGCTGCAGGAGTAAGGGAGCCTCTTACAAGGATAAACCCCTCATTTCTAGTCACACATATATCTTAGAGGCCAGTGCTAAAGATACAAATGGAGATTCAGTAATAGAGGTGCAAGGATCAGGTAGCTCTTGTAAGAGGAATAACTCGGCAAGAGAACAACGACAAGCTACCATCAACCACTTTAGTGCAACCCATGTGTCTGAATCTGTCAAGTGTAGCCTGCAGAAAGATTCTGTGACCAGCAGTCATGCAACTTCAGTCACTTTCCAAGATAGCCTCCCACACAGTAATTCTAAGTACAGTGTTGCCCCTTCATCCAAAAAACACAACAGCAATAGCCTCAATAGTAGCAGGGACAGCAACATCAGCCATGATAGCAGTAACATTAGCAACTACAATTTCACCACTAATACGAACAGCGATGAAGACTTCCTGAAAAAGGTAGTAAAGCTAGAAATTTAAAAATTCATTTTAGTGTTGGTCATCCAAGTCAGGGAAATAATACATGTCAAAGGTAATTAATTGTTTATATTTGGTGGTTAAAAACAGGGAATTATGATAAAACTACAATATAAATTTTATGGTGCTGTAATTTAAAGACAAAGAATAATTTATGAAAGAAGCACAATATATGTGGTTCAAAAGTACCTCCAAGTAATGAATGGTAAAGAAATTAAAGGATGAGTAACATGATACATATTTACTGATAGAGAAAAATATATTTTTAGGGGCAATTTCTTTTATTATATGTGAAGATACTAAAGAAATTTTTGTTGTAAAGGGTTAGGTGAAGACTGTGATTAGTATTGTAAAGAGAAGTGAGAATACTGTTTTGAGAAATTATTTCAGATAACATGTCAGATATTGGTAATGAATGTCATTAAATTTTCCTGGGAACCTTGTTTGATTAAACTTTGCAACTGAAGTCTAGGGTCAGTTTGTAACACAGTAGCTGATTGGCTGGCAAACGGACACGTGAAGAGTCACTACACTACTTTATTATTTAACCTGTCACATTTATATTCTCTGTATTTTATAGAATATGAACTTTTTGTGTTGATATCTGATAATTTCTGCTCTTGGGGAAGCAAAAATTAGGATGTGAAATGCATTGGTAACATAAATATCATAAAGAGAACAAGAAAAAGATTTAAAAATTTTAGCACATCCTCTACAGCACTTCATGTGGTCACGGAGTTTACTTGGCTGAGCTTGTTCATCATGTTCGTGTTCCTTTTATGATATTTTTATTACCAATGTGTTTCACAAGCTAATTTTTGCTTCCCCAAGTGCAGAGATTATCAGACATCATCACAGAAAAGTTGTTATGCCTTAAAATAACAGAATGTAAATATGATAGATTAAATACTAAAGAACTGGAGTGACTATTGGATTGTTTGTCTCTCAGCCAATCAGATGCATTGTTACAAACTGACCTTTGGCCTCTGTTGCAAAGTATGAATGAACAGACTATAATTGTAAAGGTATTTTAAAGTAGATTTTCATATTTTTCATTACAACACAATGGGTGTTATGGGGTGTGTTTGGACACTTAGTAGGGAAATATTTAAGAAAAAAGAATACTGTATATATTTACAAACTCTCTATCCATAATTTTTTTTTTTTTTTTTTTACCGGTATGCTTCTTAACAATGTTTTTTATAATTGACAGTATGGACTAAATAGTAGTGTGGAGAGTGGGATCATCCCTGACACAACCATGTCATGCCTGGACACCAATAACATGGAGGAATCATATGACCTTTTACTCAGTGAACTCTCAAAGACATCCTCCAGTACAACTCAGGTACATACTGTACCAGATTTTGTACCTATACACATGCTGTTGTTTGTATGCTCAGAACTATTTTCATTTAGATTAGGAGAGTGAGGGGGTCCCCAGGGATCTTGGGGGCCTTAAACAAGCACTTAGTCTGCTTTTAGCTAGAGCCAGCCCTGAGATTACTCTCGTAAAGTTTTGTTTAGCGACTTTGCCAAGATCACTTTGTATCTGAGATTAACTCCTTCACTATGGGGATGCCATCTTTAATATTTTATTTGGCTCATGCCTAACGATTTTATTCAGCAGAGAGAGGACCCCATACACAAGACCATATGCTCTCTCCAAAAAATAAAAAGTGGGTGTTTAGTGGCTGAGTTCTTACTCATAGGTTACTTGCAATGAACCAAAGGTCATAATTTTTTTTTTCTTCTATCTGTTCAATTCCTGTCAATTTACAATGCCATGAAGGGAGGTGAGATGGTTTGTCGGTCACTCCAGGTCACCAAGAAGGATATGGATTGTAATAACACTTTATTCTAGTGATATTTTTAAATCTAGATTTTTGCTTGTGCCTCAAAGTTTGTTTCTTCTGCTGTTTGGAAATTTAAAATGAGTGGTATTAAATTTTGGTAGGCTTTCTGATAGTTTGTGGTGGCCAATCATTGTGCAGTTTTAGTCTTGAAGAGATGTTGCCCCCTTGTGGTGGCCAATCATTGTGCAGTTTTGGTCTTGAAGAGATGTTGCCCTTTTCTGGCCATTTTTATATCAATGTTCTACATTTTTAGAGGAAATTGCTGGCGGCAACAACTTAGCTACAATATTAACCATTCATTACAGTCTTTGTAATCAAGGGCCTTGACTGCTAACTTTATGACCTCATTGTAGATAACATTAATGTTTTAAAAATATCCTCTTTGCCTGTAGTCAGCTTACAAGCTGCTAGTCATGAACCATTTGCAAACACTGGGCGTTTAAGGGCTCTTGAATATACAGTCTCTCCTCAACTTACGACGGGGTTCCGTCCCAACGACCAGGTCGTAAGTCGAAAAGGCGAAAATAATACAAAGAAATTCTAAAATGGGTGTCTCATTTTCTTCTCAGCACCACAAGAACTCTCACTTTTATGCTTGCCAGCCATTTTAAAGGGAATTACAAACGAATATTTTGTCAGTACACAGCTAACGTCGGTACTAGAAAATACGTACAGTAATTTGAAAAATATTTTTTACGACCACAGCTGTCGTATGTCCGGGTTGTCGTAAGTCGAGGAGTACCTGTACCTGAAAATGTTCACACTTGAGTTTTCACAACATTCTTTGGCTAGATATTTCACAAGTTCACAAGGAGGATGCTCTCCCTTTGAAGAATGTGTTTGGACACACTTCAATGAAAATAGACCGGCTACCATAAACAGTACCTAGTGCAACTAATAGTTACATTGGGAATAGCTTGAAAATTGATAATTACATTTGCTTTTACATTTTCATCCCTTCAGAAGTCAAGGTAAACACAATTTTTTTTCCCCAAGGTTCTGCCTGCTACTTCGAAATCGTTAAAAATATTCCAGGAATGATTTCTATCACTTTAATTCAGTTGTTGAATCTTCTACACTCTACAGCACAGGTAATTTTGAATGAAACAAATGTAAAAAAAAAACTGAAGCAGGCTCTGTTTAAGCTTTGAAGCACAGGTGCTCCTCTATCTACGTTCCTGAAGCTCGTTCGCAAGTTCCTTTGTTCTTAAGTCCAACCTTACTCTTGTAGACACCAAACAAATTATAAAAAATGAAAAAATAAAGGATGTACAGTACAGCTATACTCAACAGCACAGCATTTTTTTTTTTTTTTTTTTTACGGGGATTAGCCCACCTGGGCACAGGTTACTGACTCACATCAGGGCCCGGGGGGCGAAAATTTAATAATAATAATAATTCATAGTAAATAAAATTTATAATAAAAAGTAAAATAAAATATTAATGGTAATAATAACAACACTGTGATAATAATAAATACAAAAATGCAAGAATGAAAAAAAATCAACAGTGAGAATGTTGTTTTGTCATGTAATAGAAACAATTGAGACCCTACAATTGTGTGTAAATGAGGCAGAAAGTCAGATCAGCAACCTGGGACTTGGTCACAATTTTCGTGATGCCATATGGCAGCAGGGTCTACCATTAGACAACACATTATGCTGCTAATATCTTCCCAGGCGGTAGTACCTCCCTGTTCGGTAGCTGCCTACTACCTACTCAGGCATTTTCTTCCAATATAATCCACATTAAACTCCAACTCTGGCAGGTAACCCCCCCCTCAGCAATAGTGTTTGTACAGGTATCTCTGAAAGTTCATGTTGAATGTAAGTAGAGGAGCACCTGTACAGGAATACCTAGTTATTCGCATTAACATTTTAACACCCTTATTCGATTACAGCAAAGCATACCCTGCTTATTCATAAATGAAAAATATGATATACCCTGTAGTAATATTTCAAGCCTGGCAGGCTAGCTGCAGCTATCTTATTCTGATGGAAGACCTGCTTCACATCTTCACATGGGCTTTTTTTTCTGCACGTACAGACCCACGTAGTTTACAAATTAGCGAAGTTCAATGGGACCATTCATATAGAGCACGCACGTGAAAATTCACGTGCGGTAGATGCTCACCCCACGCCTGTACGTACCTGTATATCCAAACTGCGGCGTGAAAAAAACACACCGAGAGTTCTAGAATTCTTCATATGGCAATGGTAAATGCTAGTTTAAATGTTTACACTCATTACAAATGTTGTACACACACAGAGTACATGAATAAATGAAGAGGGAACAGGAAGAGACTTTATGCTGTAAATAGCTTGTGTGTACTGGCAGGAATTAGGCAGTACTGTATATCCTGATTCACTGTAAGACTCACTATCTCATGCACTTCAGACTTGGGGAATACAGAATGGCTATGAGCATACATCACAGTCTCACCAATCTTGTTCAATATGAACTACACCTCGCACTCATCAATATTTGGTGATACAGTACAAGAAAATCATTTACTTGTTTTTTGTTTTTGCTTTTACAGAACTCGTTTAGAGTGAGGGAGGGAACTATATTATTATTATTGTGGTATAAATAGTTCACACTGCATTATGATTAGATGTTGTACCTGTATTTAAGTACTTATCATTACCCTGTAATGGTTTAGTCCATATAATAACAAAAACATTTCACTATGATATAAAGTACACCCTCAATTTACACAGTGGTTAGGTTCATGGAAAATACAAAAGTGAACTCACTTAAAAATATACCTTGAGCATATGGGAAATAAGGGGATTAAGTTCCAGGCTCATATTAACTCCCCATGACTAGCTACAGGAAAGTTAAATCTTATCATCAGCTGGACAGTACACTGTCGTCATCAAGTATTTGCAGCTAACCCACCAGTATTTCCAAAGTTTAGATGAAGTTTTGTGAAAAAAATATATTTTTAGATAATGAAATATGAGATAGTCAGGTTTCATTACTCAGAAATTTGGCTTAGTTACTGTATCTATATAAGGGATTTGCTGGTTTGGTAGTGGGAGTCAGACATGAGATGAACAACATGGTAGCCAGTGTAATTTTGTTCAGATCTGATATAGTACACCAACATGGATTTAATAACCACTGTCCATTTATAAGTGTGTATGGGTTTCCAGTTACTGCAAGAGATTTCTAGCACTGTGTGGTGGCATTAGTGGATCCAGGAATATCGGGGGGGGCAATAAGTTGTGGGTGGGAAAACTGGCGAGCACAGCGAGCCTATTCAGCTGGGGGGTTTTGGGGGCTTGCTGTAAGGCCCCCCCTCCCCAAGAAAATTTTTTAAATCTGACCAATATCATGGTCATTTTGTGGCCTATTGGAAGCCATGTGCACTTGATATTAGGAGATATTCCAAGGTCAATACTTTTATCCTCTTCACCACTGATCGGCTCGCTTGCCGCCTGGGCGATCGGCCACGTCTCTGTCACGCACTGTTGGCAAGTACCCTGTACTGGGCATACACCAGCTCCTGAATGTACCTGAACCCACTCCAGTGTTGGTCAAGTTTTGTCTTGAAAGAGCTCACTCTCGGTGCCGTCACAACACTTTCTGGTAGATTGTTCCAAGAGTTAACAACTCTCACTCCGAAAAAGTTTGCCCTCACAGTTTTCTGGACTTGCGGCTTCTTCAATCTTGAGCTGTGACCCCTTGTGGGGCGAGCGTCTGCCAGCTCCAAGTAAGGACACTCAACTGAGTAGTGCCCCCTGAGATGCTTATACACCTCAACTAGATCACCCCTTGCCCATCTGTAGTATAAGCTAGGCAAGTTCAGGCACTCCAATCTTACTTTTTACTATACATAAATGCCTGAGTACAATATTGCATTAAACAAAAGGTATTGTTATTTTCTTATGAAAAGGGGGGTCTGGTTCCCCAGGAACCCCCCCTGGATTCACCATCAGACCAATCAAGAGGTTTGCTTCATCATGTATGTCCCTCAAACAACAGTTTGCCATCATCTACCATACTCAGGTTCTCTTCCTTCTCAAATCTCTTAACACTCGGGAGCATGTATGGCTAATATTGCATCATCCAAAAACACATGAAACATGGTAAACAAGCACGGGAAACAGGTGTTAACACTTGGAGTTGAGCAAGGGACATTAGTGTGCCTTGATTCAAAGGTTCATTTAATGTCATAGTTGGTTTACATATAGGTTTTAAAATAAATATTTCTTGGTGATGGTGGTGGCATGCTTGCCTCTCACCACTGCTGCCATGGGTTTGATTCCCATGGTCAAATGTGAGAAGGGTGTTATCCAGTGTGACCTTACCAAACATTGCAGGTTTTCTCCAGATACTCTGTTTTCTTCCTATACTATCACTGGACAATGAAGGTCCCAAGAAACAAAGAACTGATTGATTGCCCAAAAGGTTAGTAAGCTGATAAGTGATGGAAATGATAAATAAATTAATTAAATTTCTTCTATGGTGAACAAAAGGATGGACTGCATATATAACCAAAGTTATAACTTGCACAGTACATGTATAAACAGAGGGTCCATATGATGACTATATCTAAGAACTGAAGTAAAATAGTTCATTCACTCTAGCCCAAGCAGTTAATGAGCCAACCAGTGGCAAAGAGGATAACATTAAACAAATATCAACCTAGATATTCATGTTTATCTAATTTTTATGTTTTATGAAAATTAGTATTTTTATATAAATAAATGAGTAAGCTATAAATCTATATTTATTTTGATTTAAATACAGTATATATATATATATATATATATATATATATATATATATATATATATATATATATATATATATATATATATATATATATATATATATATATATATATATATATATATATATAATTACTGGAATAGTATAAAATATAACTTGTGTATTACCTAGTTGTAATCTATGTATAATCAACAATAAATCAGTATTCAATGATTTGTTGTATCAGTCCATTTTTTCCACTTAACTGGAGCTGGCGGACGCTCGCTTCACAAGGGGTCACAGCTCAAGTGAATTTTATGCTTGCACACAATGACTTCGTCTGCACTGAGCCACATACATGACGTCACATCCTTTCAGAAGACTAATAGGGTAGATGCTCTCTACTGGAGTTCACATATCTGGTATGTCTACTTGTTAATGTTATTTACTTTGTGTACATGTACATTCTAAGAAACAACTATCTTTCCAAGTTTTGGTGAATATATTGCAGAAAAGTTGAGTCCCACAACACACACATCTGTGTACCTCATAAACAGTGGACAGGCCTTTTGAGTCTTGGAAAGGGGTACCCAGTTACACAATTAATGAGCATACTGTAATTATTTACTTTCTCTAATGATCATTCATTATTGGGTATATGTGTCCGTATTTCAGAAATAAAAAGTAAGTCCACTATTTTGAATAATCATTCATTGAACAACTCAAAGCGCATATCTATTCAGGCGTACCAACTGACCAGAAGAAGTCTTGGTTACCTTTCAGTATTCTGTACTGTAATCTGCCAGGTTTCAATATTCATCAACCAAAACTGGGAAGATACAGTACTTGTTTCTTAGACTATCTACTTATGGAAATATTATGACTGATACCATGTGCTCCCATTTTACCTCAGTTGGATTCTATAGTAGGAATCCATCTAACCCAGCAAATTTGACTAGTATTTAGTAGAAAATTTTCCCTCCATTGACTGAAAAGATAAGTAATTAATTACTTCATTATTGGGACATGCATAAAAATCTGAGGTCATTGGCAAATATTTAGTTTAAAATGTGATTTTTCTTGTAAAATTTGAACCAGATCTATTTTTTTTAACAGGCAGACTATTATGACCAATATGAGTGGTATTCATAGATCGTATATTTTGAAAAAAAAAAAAAAAATTTAAACTAGGATCAACAAAGCATCTTCATTATCATTAACGTTAATGTTTAGTAGGAGGTGTAGTCCCAGGGCCTTTAGCCAGGTGGCGTGATATAAACAGAATCTGTGAGTGTGACTGCCATGAGGGACTGGTCTCCCAAACACCCACTTAAACCTAGCATAATATTCAAAGACATTAAGTATAATATACTCCATTACTGTACTGTATCAGTGTTGTAACATGTATTACCGTACTCATTACAATATAGAGTAGCGTACCATTATCATGTTGTAACACATGTAGTATGTAAAAATTCTTATATTGGAGGCAACCATTATTAGTACATAGAATGTTGTAAGGAATCCATATAAACAGATATTATAAAGTTGGGTTCAACATTATTAGTACTGTATACAGAATATTGCATCAAACCTCTTGGTAGACACTTGCAAATTGTGGTGTAGAATAAAATGTTCTTCTCATTATATGTAGAGCAACCCTGAGTATAGTGATGAAAATACCCCACAACTTTCAAAATGTTTCATTTGAGAGAAGAAAAAGAAGTAACAATAAGATAGGTTATTTATGAAAAATAATAATCAGTGACTGTTGACCATGACAGTTAATTGAGTGGAGGCAGAGGTTCACCCAAACTAACATCAAACGCACACTCCGTGATGGTCACCTCAATGAACTTCTCATTGTTACTAGTACCTGTATAGTCTGGACAAAGGCATCAGGGCTTCTGGTTCTATGCATTAAGCACTGATCATGATAATCTCTACTGGTAGAACCAAGTTTGTTAATACAGTGATCCCTTGATTAACGAGCGCCTCGGTTAACGAGATTTCGGTTAACGAATTACCTTCCATAAGATTCTTAACTTCGGTGAACGAGCATTCCCTCGATTAACGAATTCCTTACGAGCGGCCCTCATCATGTTTTCGCTTGCACACCAGTTGTCGTATTAGTCCGCCAATACAGTAATCGGTTCTGGGGCTTAAATTCCTTACCATTTTAGTAAATATCAAGAAGGTTGTACTATTCAATCATTTTAAAAGTTTAATATTAAATTTTTTAGTCATTTTAACAATTATTGAACATAATTGAAGTACAGGAAACTAGTTTTATGCGCGCCAAACAGCGTGTCAACACACCAAACAGGATTCAGTCTCTGTGTCTTTTCAGTGGAGGTAACATCTTGCTTCAGACTCACTTCAACATAAATGCTTTTTTTCTGTTTTCATTCAAATTATTGATCATTTTGAAATTTATTTTACATATTGATGATATATAGAGCAGTGCAGTGTTAATTTAAAGAAAATATTCTTTATTTACAGCAATTGAACTTAAAATAACACGTGTTGAAATTGTTTTTGAATCCAGCATGGGTCCCAAGAAATCTAGAAAAGCGATTTCAATACAGATGAAACAGGAAATAATTAGAAAACATGAAGAAGGCATTAGAACAAATGTGCTAAGCAAAGAATATGGCATGTCGACATCAATTGTATCGACAATTCTTGCACAGAAAGACAAATTCAAGGAAGTGAAAGTGAGAGACAAGTCTACCAGAGTGTTCAAAGGTAGATCCCTAATAGCAGAAACAGTGAGGTTACTACTCATCTGGATTAGGGAAAAACAGATGAAAGGTGATTCAGTTTCTACTGAATTTATTTGTGAAAGAGCCAGGGAAATATACGAACATTTAAAGGTAAATCAACCTGGTTCTTCAGGCACAGACTTTGAAGATTTAAGGGCCAGCAAGGGCTGGTTAAAAAAATTTAAGAAAAGAAGTGACATATTTAGTGTTAGGCATGGTGAGGCTGCCAGTGCTGATATGGAAGGGGCAGCAAAGTTTTTAGTGGAATTTAAAGAACTGGTGGATACAGAAAATTATCTTCCACAGCAAGTGTTCAATGTGGACGAAACTGGGCTGTTCTGGAAAAAGATGCCCAAAAGCACATTCATCACCAGAGATGAAGCCTCTTTACCTGGGCATAAACCCATGAAAGACCGTCTCACTCTATTGCTTGGTGCCAATGCTTCAGGGGATTTCCGACTGAAGCCTATGCTTGTCTACCACTCTGAGAACCCCAGGGTGTTCAAGCAACAAAAAGTGGTAAGAGGACGGCTTGGAGTTTATTGGAAATCCAACCGTAAGGCATGGGTAACAAGACAGCTCTTTAATGAATGGGCTGTTGAGGTGTTTTCCCCTTCTGTGAAGAGCTACCTAACCACCAATAAACTCCCTTTAAAGGCTCTTCTTAACACTACATCAATCATACAGCCAATGGACCAGAATGTGATCAGCAACTTCAAGAAGTTGTACATGAAGAATATGTTCAGGTGTCGTCATCAGGCAACTTCCACTGATCCTGAACTAGCACTGAAACAGTTCTGGAAGACACAATTCAACATCCTGGAGGCTGTAAAATTGATTGTGTCATCATGGCACTAGATCCCTCAATTCTTCATGGAAAGCACTGTGGCCATCAGTAGTCCATGATTTTGAGGGATTTCAGGATGACACAGAGTTGGACCAGGAGACTGTGTCCATTGGTCAGTCATTGGGCCTTGAAGTGGAGGAGGATGATGTAGAAGAGCTTGTGATGTCTCATGAGCAGGAACTTACTCCTGAAGACTTGCAGCAACTAGATGAGATGTTAGAGGCTGACAGTGGTGAGGAGGAAACGGAAAGTGATGCCCATATGTCAACTTCAGAGTTGAAAGATGTTGTTCACTACTGGGAGAAGTTCAGGAAACTGGCTTCAAGGCACCCAGATGTGGAAAAATATCTGAACTAACTTTGAGTCATATTGAGGACACAATGGTCTCCTTCTTTAAACATGAGTTAATTATGAGGAGGAGAGATGCCCCACAGACAAAAATTGACATTTTCTTCAGTAAAAGGCAGCGGGAACAAGATGCTAGCCCTCAGCCTTCCACTTCAAGGAGGAGAGAGGATGTTTCTGGTGGAGAATCTGTCAGTCCAGAGGTTCCTGAGATTTTCATGGAAGGTGACTCACCTTCCAATAAGCAGTAAAATGCTTCTCCTCCACCTCCACTTCCTTCTCTTCTCCTCCACCTCCCACTTCAAATTCACATCAGCATCATCATCCAGGAGCCTTCTACATACACACCTCAAAGTAAGTGTACTTTACTACCTTTTTTGTTGATTTTAGGCAATTTTCGGTGAGCTGGAACCAATTACCCAAAAACCCATTGAAACAATGGTTTCAGTGAACGAGTTTTTCGGTTAATGGGCAACCTTTTGGAACGACTTGTGCTCGTTAACCGAGGGACCACTGTACTAATTTGATTACGGTACTAAAATTGTTATGTCTAGTGCGAATTACAACATGTTTATATTCAAATAAATCAGTATCTTACAAGAATCCCAGCAATGTTAATTATATTCTCCTAGGTCATATCACTGGCATTTTAAAATGAGAGAAGCTTAGTAGGACTGTTAAATAAACACACAGAGACCTTCAGCTCAAACTTATCACCTCAACCCCCCCCCCACCCCAACCCCTCACTGGCTGGCTGGCTCCGTCCGTCCGTCCGTCCGTCCCTCCCTCCCTCCCTCCCTCCCTCCCTCCCCCCCAGCCAGGGTTTTAGGCTTACAGTTTTTATCTTATATAATATCTCAGACTAAAGTTAGGAGATTATAATTTGCATTGCTGGAATCCTATGAAGACAGCCAATAATTTGAATATAAACGTCATATATTTTGTTCAAGAGAAAAAAATTGTTGTCCATTAGTGTACAATACTGTAGTACATTTTATAAAAAAGTTTTTCAACTGTATTTTTGGGTAGATTTACATATATTTCTTCATTTATTTTCATCCATTTACATGCACACACCATACTAAAAGAAACGTAATAGAAATAAATGACCTTAGTGCAAAGCTGGAGTGCACATGTACTAATTTGATTCCGGTACTAAAATTGTTTTGTCTAGTGCAAATAATAGCATGTTTATATTCAAGTTAATCAGTATGTTACAAGAATCCCAACAATGTTTATTATATTCACCCAGGTCATGTCACTGGCTTTTTATAAGAGAGAAGCTTAGTCACTTAAGAACTGATAAATATACACTCGTTAGACCTGGGCCTGTGCCAACTGTCAAACGTATTGCCTCCCCTCCCCCCACGCTCGCTCCCACCCTCTCTCTCCCCCATCTGCTCGGCGTTGCTGGAATCCTTGTAAAACAGTGAATAATTTTAATATAAACGTCATGTATTTTGCACAAGAGATAAAAATTAATCACCTGTATCACATTACAGTGGTGATTTAAGAGTAAAAGTGTATATGTACGTATATAGTATTCCACATACTCGTAAGTATAAATACAAAGTTTATGTGATGATCGGACAACGTCCATTTTGGTTAACGTCATATTTCCAAGAACGTATCTAGGACGTTAACCGGCGCATGACTGTACTTTAAAACTCTGTATATTGATACAGTGGTCCCTTGGTTAACGAACACAATTCGTTCCAGAAGGTCGTTCGTTAACCGAAACCATTGTTTCAATGGGATTTTGGGTAATTGGTTCCAGCTCACCGAAAATTACATATAAACTAAAAATAAATGCATAAAGTACACTTACTTTGAGGTGTGCATGTAGAAGGCTCCTGGTTGATGATGATAATGATTGGAATTAGAATGGGGGTGGAGGAGAAGGGAGAAGAGAAGGCATTTGGGTGGAAGAGAAGTCACCCCATGCTTCATGTCGCCATTTCACCCTAAAATTTTAGTTCACTTGGTGTAATTCAAGATTATTTTCTTGAAATTAACACTGCACTGCATTAGATATTGTCAATATGTAAAATAAACTTCAGAATGACCAATAATTGCACTCTTAAAACGTAAAAATAGTTTATGTTCAAGAGAGTTTCAAGCAAGATGCTTCCTCCACTGAGCAGGGACACAAACTGACGCCATTCTGGGTGAGTCAAATGGCTGTTTGGCGCGCTAAAAACTAGTTCCCTGTACTTCAATTATGTTAATTAATTGTTAAAATGACTAAAAATTTTAATATAAGACTTGGAAAATTATTGAATAGGACAACCTTCTTGATATTTACTCAAATGGTAACGAATTTAAGCCCTAAAACCGATTACTGTATTGGCGGACTAATACTACAGCTGGTGAGCAGGTGAAAGCAGGCGAAAACATGTTGGGAAAAATTCGTAAGGAATTCGTTAACCAAATTTTTTTCGCTAACCGAATTGAATATTATTATGGAAGGTAATTCGTTGACCGAAATTTCGTTAACCGGGGCGTTCGTTAACCGAGGGATCACTGTAATTGTTTTGTTTGGAAGATGAGGTCTTATTTGAACGCTTTTAATGGAAAATTAAAAGCTTTAAGTTGTTAATTTTAAATTATATGTTAACTCTTAATCTTTTCAGGAACTTCTTGGTGAAGATGGAGTGTTGTTATTCCCAAGTCATCCAACCACAGCACCATACCACGGTCAGCCACTCTTCAGGGCCTTTAACTTCATATACACAGCCATCATCAATGTGCTACTCTTTCCATCAACACAGTGCCCTCTTGGTTTGGGGTCAAATGGCTTACCTCTTGGTATTCAGGTGAGATGTTCTTTTTTTTTTTTAGCCATTTTTTTCTATAAACCAATTTTTCTGATATAGTCCAGAATGAGACATCCAGCTTTATACCGAGGTATGTAAATGCCTAGCATTAACTCACCAGGCCAACATACAGGCAATTAAAACATCTAATAATTACTTAAATACGTAATATTAAGAGGACACATCGCTACCTGGCATTTAATTGCAATTCTCAAAACCCCCTCCCGCACCCTCCATCACACACACTGCCACCGTCATCTCTTGCCCTAGAGCGAGCCGTAAACAAATGTCAACTCTCAAGGGGTGGATATGGGTGGGATGTCGACATCACATTCTGGACTACAGTATATCACAAAAACTGGTTTATAGAAAAAAATGGCTTTTTGTTCAATCCAGATTGCGACGTCTAGCTTTGATTACCCGAGCAGGAGGTGGAGAGGGAGGTGACATTGCGTATAAGGCTCCGCTAGCTTAGGTCCAGATTATAATTATAAACTTATTGGAATATTTTCCAATATTAGGAACATTTACCGGAAGGTAAAATGTTAATTTACATATCCCAATTAGGATACTCAATTTACTCTGATGAGGAAGAAGGTCCTGGTTGTGGAGATTGACTAGGTGGGGGAGGGGACCCCAGCACCACCACATGTGAAACATCTTTCAGAGATAGATGAAGATAGCTGTTTTGAAAGGTTTTTGAAGATCTCCAAAAGCCCACTTCTTTGATCTGACTGAGGCTCATATGCCGCAGAAAGGCCACATATTTCCTGGTGTCATGTGCCAAAAATTTCTTGCCAGGGTCTGCTTGACTCACTAACTGAGATAAATATTTTGTCATTTGACTAGGAGACAATTTCTTACCATCCCAGGATGAGAATACACAGGGGCCTCGATTAGGGAATCTGGTTAACCATTCTTGAAGATTCTTGACTGGGCACAATATATGAGGAACCGTTGTCTCCTCCATTAGCCGTTTTATCCTGATAGGTTGAGCTTGAAAATCCTCCCTTTCATTTTTTCTTAGGATCTCTGTAGGAAAAAGGGTGACATCTTCCTCAGAAAATACCAATAATGATGGATCATTGGAAATTGAAATCAGCTCACTGATTCTCATACCTTTTCCTATTGCTAGAAGGAAGGCTGCCTTCTGGAGCAATCTGTCCCGGTTCAGATTTATATTGTAATTAGGCCCCATAAGAAATTTAGTAGATTTATATAGAGACCAACTTGGGATTCTCTTAGGCCGAGGAGGTCTCTGAATGAAAAAGGATGATCTGAGCATTTGATAAATTCTTGGGTTCAAAGTAATATTAAAACCCCATGCCAGAGGGTCAACCATTGCTGAATTATAAGATGCAATTGTCGATCCTTGAAGGCCTTTAACTCTGAACAGAAATTCTAAAAATTCTAACACCATTGTTTCTGATAATGTGATTGGAGTCGTTAACCTGATAAATTGTTGAAAAAGTTTCCAAGCTTTCTGATATTGCATAGAAGTTTGGGGACTATGACCTGCTATCACTTGGTTAACTATATCAAAATTACCCAACAATCTATCTAAACATGTTTTGAGAAACTCCAGCATGAAGTGCCAAGGATATCTCGAACTGAGGGTGCAGTACCTGGTCTAGACATCCTTGTTGCAATTGTAGTGGATGCGGGCACCATTCCAACAGATCGAGACATCGCGGTTGTAGGATCCAATATGGTACAATTAAGAGGACCTTTCCTTGGAAGGATATGAGTTTGTGAACCACTTTGGGCAACATTTTCACAGGTGGGAACAGATAGATTGAATTCCAGCGGTTCCAATCTATGAGTAGAGCATTTCCTAAAAGATTTGATCGTTCCAGGGATGTATAAGTTGGCATCTTGTGATTGTTTTGTGAGGCAAAGAGTGGAGTCCCAAGCCTCCTCACTAGACTTTTGAACTTCGATATCGTTAGGGACCATTCTGTTTCTGTCAATACTGGCCTGAGACGGGACAGCGCATCTGCCCAATTGTTTTGTACTCCCGGTATGTGAGTTGCTTTGAGATAAAGTGTTTGTGTTACACAAACTTTGAAAAAAATTTCTGACAGTTTTAGAAGAAGCCAAATATCTGGTTGAGCCTTGATGATTGAAACAAAACACTGCCATTCTGTTGTCCATGGCAAACAGAATCGTCAAGTATTTTAAATTTGGGTTTGCCAACAAAAAGAATAGGACCACTGCTAATTCATTTATGTTTATGTGTTTGTCCCAAAGGGAGTTGCTCCAGTTCCCTTGATTGAATTCCCTTTTGAGGAATGGTATCCCCATCCTTTTTCGGATGCATCCGTACAAACGACCAAATCTGTTTGAGGCGGAACCAAGGGAGAGGAACCGATTAGATTGTCCAAATTTGTCCACCATGACAGATGATTCTTGATCTGAATTGGGAGAGAAGAAGCAATATTCTGTTTCTGTAGAGCAACTTCGATCCCAGATGAGTTAGTTGCTTCTTCCTTAACTTGCCCAAAGGAACTGCTATTGTGGCAAAATTCAACAGACCCAGTAGTTTTCCCCAATCGTGCCAAGAAACCTTGTGCTTTACACAAAAGGCTTCTACTTGGTGTATCACATCTGTTACTTTTGCTTCTGGTAGACTGACTGACTGCTGATTGGTGTCTCAATGGAGACCTAACCAATCCAATTTCTGACGTGGTATGAGATTTTATTTGACCTCGTTTACCTTTAATCGTAGGTTTTGAAATAGTTCTAGTGTACATTGGGTCGCCCTTTGACAATCTTCGAAAGAATTTCCGAGTATCAGCCAATAATCTAGATAAGTAAAAGTTCTTATGCCCCCCTTCGCAAGGATCTCTCTGGGGATGTTTGCCAGTTTTTTAAACACTTTTGGCGCAGTTGTCAGGCCAAATGGCATCACTGTGAATTGATAACTTACATCCCCCACTGCGAACACTAGACACTTTCTGTACCTGGGAGCAACAGGCACTTGATAATGGGCATCTTCGAGATCCACTTTTGAGATCCAATCGTTGGGTGGAAATAGATGCCTTTAATGATCCTAAGTGGGCATCTTGAAACTTGTTTTGGTAATGAACTTGTTCAGGACGGAAAGATCTAAAATCCACCTCAATTTGTCGCTGCCGTTCTTGGGGACTGGGAATAGGCGAGACTTGAAATATTTCTCTGACTGCAACAGTTCTATCACACCTCTGTTTAACAGTTGAATTACAAATTCTGTGAGTAAGGGGGTTGGTTTTTGACCCCTTTTTGGTAACACTAGGGGAGGGCTCCTCGACCAAGTCCATGTGAGGCCCCCTTTGATTGTCTTGTAAGCCCATATGGAAGAAGTCCACCTGTTTTCCCAACCCCCTACATCAGTGGTTCTTAACCTTTTATGAGTCACGGACCCCTTTGAGAATCTGGTGAAAGCTATGGACCCCCCCCAGAAAAATGCACATAAGCACATAAACACAACTTTGCATGCAATGAATATACTTTATTTTATTGAAAATTAATTGCCTCATACAGTGTATGACATACACAAAGTATGAATAAAGTAAACAATCTTAACAATTATGTTTCACACTTTTTTATGCAAAAATTAATGGCCACTCCATACAAGAATGACATACAATCATCTTGTGCAAATTAAACAAAGCAAAACTTTAATTCTGCTCAAAAGTTCATTTCAATGAGAAGGTTGTTGTTGTTTGGCTTGAATAAGAAGAAGATGAAACTGTAGAGTGGTCTTTGACAAGGTAACACGCATCTCATCTTTGACATCCAATCGAATTCGACTTTTCGTTTTGATAGAAACAAGTGCTGAAAACCCTGACTCACAAAGGTATGTAGTAGCAAACAGAATCAGAGCACCCATAGCTCGCTTTACCAGACGAGGGTAGGCTTGTGTCAACGCACACCAGAATTCTCCAAGGCTCTTTGAGTTGAATTCATTTCGTAACATTTCCTTTGTCTTCAGGTCAATGAGGTCATCTTTGGCAAGGTCTTCATCACTGATACAGTCTATGTCGGCAAGGAAAGGATTACGAATCCATGTTTCAACTTTAAGGTCACCTGAGAAGAAGTAACCTTTGAAAGAGTTCTGCTGAGTATCCAGATGTCTGCAGAGAAATTGACAGGGCCTTGTCTCACTCGGTTCCATCCTGCAGAAGCACTTCCTCTAACTTTGGAAAGTTTGCATAGTTGTCTGCCTCCAACCTCCTCTTCCACAGTGGCAGCTTGATCAGAAAAGCTTGCAGTCTTTCAGCAGCATCCATAATGGTGACTCCAGGGTCTTGAATCGTAAGATTCACCTCATTCATATGGCCAAAAATATCCAGCAAGTAGGCCAAGCCATGAATGAACTCCTCACTGTCAAACTGTTCTGAGAGTGGGCTTTCTTTTTCTCTCAAAAAAAGTGAAACTTCTGCTCGAAGTTCAATCAAGCGCTTCAAGATTTGTCCTCTGGAAAGCCAGCGAACTTCTGTGTGGTAAAGAAGAACTTCATATTCTGCTCCCATTTCTTGACAAAACCTAGCTCTGATGAAGTTGACGACTTTCACGCCAGTAGACAAGACTTCTTTCAGAATTGCTGGCTGAGACTTTGACGCCAATGCATGCCGATGTAGAAAACAATGACCTGAGGAGCTTCTTTTTTCACCAAAGCAGCAAAACCAGATGTGTTGCCAAGCATCGCAGGTTCTCCGTCTGTGCACAGAGTACAAAGATTTTTCTTCCAGTCGAAGTTTTGCTTGGCAAAGAAACTATTCACCATTTCTAAGATGTCGATGGCCTTTGTAGTTCCAAAAGGGGCTCACAAAATAGGAATTCTTCTTTGATGGCATCAGCATGCATATAACGGACGAAAACCAGAACCTGGCTGCACTGAGAGATGTCAGTTACATGCTGAACAGAAATGGCGTAGCTGCTAATTCTTCCATTACTTGCTTCAGAATATTAGAAGAAATGTCAACAATTGTAGAGTGGATGACGTCATTTGACAAAGGCACTGCTGCAATTTTCTTCCTCTGCTCCAAGCCACAAACCAGCTCGACCATTTCAAGGGCACATGGCTTTACCAAGGTCTCTCCAATCGTATGTGGCTTCTTTTGCTTGGCAATGCGATAAGCAACCCTGTAGGATGCTTCAAGACAAGGCTTTTGTGTTGGGGCAAATCCAAGTTTTGGTAAAATTCCAGCTTTCTCAAAAAAATGTTATGTAATTTATATGGAAAGCAGTAACTAATGAGCACAAATTAATAAGCACGACAGATCGACCGACAGAAAGACAGATAGACAGGCAGACAGACAGACCGACTGACGGACAAACCTTTACAGACAGACAGAGAGACAGACAGATAACCCTATTTTCAGTAGCATTATTACGGATTTCTCAAGGTTCCCCTCAAAAAAAAATATGAATGATACTGACTGATGACTTCGTGTTTTCCTACCCTACTGACGCACCCAGACCCTAACTTTATCCATTCTCTCGCTATTTATGCATCCCTACTCTAACTACGTGCACCTAGTCCCTAACTTTGACCAATAAATAATAACAAACTTGTTGTAAATAATGGATAAAACAAATAAATATAGCGCACCAACCCTTCTTGGTTTTTCACAACACTTGCACGTGCCTTTCACCACATACTCACAAACACATATTCACACACTGTACACCCATCACTCTTAGCCACACTCTGAAATTGTGGTCAGAAGGCGGTCGGAGGCCTCCAACCTCGGCTGGTACAGCTGTAGTAATAATAACTAAGGCCCTCTTTCGCTACCTTCACCAAAAACATAACCATAGGTAATTGAAAATATTTAGGAAAAAGTGTGTATTTGAAGATACTATGGCCCTCAGTTAAGCCTTACCAGTATATGAGAAGATTCCCAAGCCATGATAAACCGTGGAAAATGAGAAATAAATTTAAATGGTAAACATGGGCCACCAGAGACGCTTAGCAGTCAGCGCTATAAGCAGTGGCAGGGTACGTTTGCTTTAATTTCTTTCAATGGGAAACCATTCTAGAAGTCAAAAC